CCGGACCCCTCACAGGGAACAGGCACACCGCCTGACACCCGGCCACGCACGAGGAGCAGGGACGCCGCCTGACACCGGACCCCTCACAGGGGCCTGACACCCGACCACGCACGAGGAGCAGGGACGCCGCCTGACACCGAAACACGCACGAGGAGCAGGGACGCCGCCTGACACCGGGTCCAGTGGCGTGGCCGGCCCGCCGCCGGCAGCCGTCGCCACTGACGCGCCTGCCGGACATCGCCAGACCCCAATCGGTCCAGCTGTCGGCGTCCCGCTGGGGCGCCCCTCCCGGAGCACATCCGAGCGTACGGCTGACAGCGGCCTGCCGCACGAGCCCGCCACGTGACATTCTTCGTCGGCCGATCGAGTCGCGCTTCCGATTTGGGGTGCACGTCGTGCGCCAGGCAATCAGGGCACGTGTGACACAGGCCCGCAGGCACGGGTCGTCGACGGCGGAGCACTCTTGCAGGAGCACTCCCGCTGAGTGGACAGCAGACCGGCAAGCGGGGTAACCGGCTGAATACAGCCGGCGGGAGCGGCGCATGGCCGTCCCAGCTGAGTGAGACCCACATCAACGGACAACACCATTATTCCATCGCACACCAAGTGATTACATAGCACGTTCTACTCGTCCCCCCCCCCCCCCCCCACCGCCCCGCAATGCGGGTCTCTAGGTCACGGGCCACCGTGTCAGATCACGGGTTTTGGTAGGATCACTACCCACGGGTCAGTTCACGGACCACGGACCACGGACCAGATCACAGACCACGGGCCAGACCATGGGTCACGGGCCAGATCACGGAACACGGACCGGATTACGGCCATGGACCAGGTCACCGACCATGGGCCGGATCACGGGTCATGGACCAGATTTCAAACTACAGGCCCAATCACGGACCACGGATCAGATTATGGACCACAAATCAGTTCAGATCACGGTTCATGGGCCAAATCAGACCACGGGCCAGATCACGGGCACGGACCAGATCACGGGTCGTGGACCAGACTAGGGGCCACGGGCCAAATCCGGGGTACGTGTCAGTCAAGGCGACGGCCCGCCCCCAGACGACGGGGCAGACAGCGGACGCCTGCCGGCCTGCCGCCTGCCGCCTTGCCGGACGCCGACGGAAGCCACGCGCCAGCGGCCGGAACCCGCCCACTTCCGGCGAAGCCCCGCCCTCATTACGTCTGACGAGCCGCGAAACGCTACCCGCAGCCTGTCGGGTGTTGTCTACAATTGCACGCGGCTGCAGCAGCCGCCTGCTCTCGAGCCACAACGAAGCCATTGCGTACTGCCAATATCCTCGGACCGGACCCAATATGACGATTGCAATATGGGAGGCAAGACCCAGGAGGCTTACAGGATGCCCTAAATAGCCATCACGCGTCTAGACACCGGCCACACCACGGACGCAAGAGCGTGGTTAAATACCTAACCCGGCCGAAGTTAGCGTCGGTAGGACATAAAAGGCCGCACTATGACGAATGTATAGCAAAATAATCACCAGGCGAACGCAACACCAAAACGTTATCGTGACCCACAGGTGTGCGTCATTGGGACTCGACAACGGACCCAGCTGCCGAAGGCATGTGGCGTCGCCTGCCCCACACTTTGGCGGAGCGGGCGGGCAGCGCGAGTACATCACTGTGGCTTGGAGTCTTCCCCTACATACATTCAGTTGCCCAGCGCCATTTCCTTCTTAACGCTCACTTCCTTCACCCATGTGCTCTGCCCTCCCAGAACTGTTCTAAACGGAGCTGGTGGCACCACACGAGCTGGAGCTGTTTCCAAAGTTAAGGCTGAGCGGTTCCGGTGCAGCCACGGTCAAGCAAACGACAGCGCGGCGCTCACAACGGAACCGGCACAACCATCCGTGGTGGGTCACCTCCGTCTCGATGAGTGCCGAATGCGTGGAGCCTGCGACACGGCGATGGGCAGGCCGGCGGTCCGAACCGAGCTGGTGCCGCCAGCTCGGTGGGGCCTGCCGCTGAGGGCCGAGACGGCACCGGCCGACCGGCGGCAACCCAGGCGTGACCAGCGACCGGCCGCCACCGCCCGACGCCGCTCTCGGCCGCCGGCACGACAGGGTGCAGGACGACACGGGACGACATGGAACAACATGGCCGCAGTGGGTACAAGGTGCAGGATGACACGGGACGACACTGCCGCGGTGTGAGGCCGCTGCGGCAGGCACACTCACGTTCTGCATGGAGATGGTGTCGATGGGCCAGTGGGGGCTGCCCATCAGGCCGCGCAGGCCGTCCAGATCGGCCTGGATGCTCTCCAGCAGGCTGTCGCACAGCACCGGGGTCCTGGCGATTGACGGCACGAGGCGGTCGGTCAGAGGGCAGGGCACGCCGCCAGACAGGGCGCAGCAAGCTGAACGGTAGACTGGTCAGGGCAGTCCGAGCCCAGTCAGCTGACGCACGGCTTGGGCTACAGTCGGGGAGGGGGAGGGGGGGGGGGGACAAGGGAGTCGGACAGAGGTCGCCAGGACACCAGTTGCCGTTGGGGAGCTCCGATGCTTGAGTGACATGACCTTGGTGAGGCTAGCCTCGTTCAGAGCTGGTCGCAAAACCGCCAGCTTGGTGTCGCCGCAATACAAAGGGCGATGCACATGTACATATGGGTGCTGGAAGGTGCTGAAAGGCGCTGTGAAGGCGATACTGTGGCGCTGACGACTGGGGGCCGCAAGCGGACCTCTACTCACGGCTCAGTGCTGGCTTCCGAGGGCAGCGCCACGACTGAGTCCTGCTGCTGCTGCTGCTGCTGGGCCTCCTCCTCCTCCTGCTGCTGCTGCTGCTGCTTGCTGCTGCTGCTGCTGCTGCTGCTGCTGCTGCTGCTGTTGCTGTTGTGTTGTTGTTGCTGCTGCTGCTGCTGCTGCTGCTGCTGCTGCTGCTGCTGCTGCTGCTGCTGCTGCTGCTGCTGCTGCTGCTGCTGCTGTTGCTGGTGCTGCTGGTGCTGCTGCTGAGTATGCTGCTGCTGGACCTGTTGCAGCTGCTGCTGCTGCTGCTGGTGCTGCAGAGTCGTCTGCTGCTTCTGCTGCTGCTGTGTCTGTTTGGGGGGTTTCTGCGGCTGCTGCTGTTGCTGCTGCAGCGCCGCTGGGTCGGCCACTTTGCTGGGGCCCGGGCTGGCGGCCAGCTGCTCGGCCACCGGCGACCAGTCGACGGTGGACGGCCGCCTGCCGCGCAAAACACGGACACACACAGCCGTCAGTACAGACGTCAGTCAGCACATACACACGCACACACGCACAAACGCACGCGCACGCACACACGCACAAACGCACGCGCACGCACACACGCACAAACGTACGCGCACGCACACACACGCAGGCACGGACCGGCCGGTGCGGACACAGACCTCAGGGTCAGTAGACCAGCACGGATACATGTCACCACCAGCAGCCGGTGATCCGCAGGGCATGCATCACCGCATGTGTCATTGGGGCTCTACGACGCACTCAGCTGCCGAGGCTACACGGCGTCGCCTGCCTCTCACCCTGGCAGAAGGGGCTGGCACCGCGGAGAATCGAACCCCGTGCTTCTCGTATCCCAGACGCGCTACAGAGCCGTGAGGGAGCCTGCAGTCAGGTACACCGAACAAACCACAGCTGGAAGCTGGGCTCCGTCCCAGCACCGGACACTGGATCATCGACACCGGCCAGGCTCCTGCCACACGCTCTGTGGCACTCTGTGTAGGCCCGGCTGGCGCGGGAGGGGGGGGGGGGGGGGGAGGGGAGCGAGGCGGCATGCGCCCAGCCGGCGGCCAGCCAGGCTCCTGCCCCACGCTCTCTGACACTCCGTCTAGGCCCGGCTGGCGCGGGGGGAGGGGGGCGAGGCCGTACCCGCCCAGCCGGCGGCCAGCCAGGCTCGCCGCCGGCGGACCCGTGGCGCGCTGTCCCGGACGGTCCCACCGGCGCGACCACCTTTATCGCGCCCGCTCAGCCGCCAGCTGGCTGATCACCTGCACTGTGACTGGCATCGCGGGCCTGATCGCTCACACGACGGACAATCGCCTGCTAGATCGAGGGCATCAACTGGAGCACTTGCCAGTCCAAGTTTGCCTGCGCGGTGGCAACTACTCAGGAGCAGCAGCCATTCTACTGGCCAAGGGGATACCATGCCCTTTTATCGAGCACAGCGCGGTCAGTCAGGCGGCATGCGCACCAGTGGTGGTGACAGACAGCTGGAGGACCGCTGGCCGGGGCCTCACAGTGAGCCGGGCCCGAGTCCAGCTCGCACCAGTGGTGGTGACAGACAGCTGGAGGACCGCTGGCCGACCTGTCATGTTGCACCAGAGTGGAGACCCAGCCTGCACCAGTGACAGCGGCAAGCGGCGGTTTGAGAGCGCTACCGCTGGCAGCATCCCGTCGCAACCCGTGCCGCAGCGCGCCAGCGAGCAGGCGGCCGCGGGAGCCGAGCCCACGCGGCCCGCCGGCGCCAAATCCTCACCTTCCTCACGCAAACGCATCGCCCCAGTGCGCGATCACCCCGGAGCCTTCAACAGCCGCTTTGATCACCCTGCGTCACCACCACGCCCAAACCTCCACCTACGCATGCTCGCCCCGTCGACGCACGACGCCGCCGGCGGGAATCACGCGCGGTGGCCGCCATGCCAGACAAGCGCGCCCACGCCGCCGCCCTCGCGCCGGATCGCTGCCCGCGAACCGAGAACTGAATGGTCCCAATACGCCACGCAATTACGAGCCGCAGCTCCTGACGCACACAGCGACCTCCAGCACCATGTCCGCCGGGCGAGGGCGGAGGGGAGGGACTGTGACGCAAACGCAGCCGACTCATTGGGAAGCGGCGCGGTCCCGGCGCAGGCACGCGACCTACTCAATACTGCCGCCAATCGGGCGGAGAGAGCCGCCGCGGGTCAGAGTAGCAGTGCTGCGGTTGACACGGCTACGCCCTCGCCCGGACAGGTGCGCGGTGAACACTCGTGGTGGGAGGTGCGCTCAGTGCGGGTCACGTCCCAGCCTGCCCGACGCCGGCCGGCCGGGCCGACCTGCGACTGATCACAGTATGACGTCGCAGGTCCGATGAGATGCGTGCTTCCTGACGGCTGCACACGGTGGCTGGCTCGTTTCCACGGTAGTATCACATCCAAAATGCCGCCCCAGCTATACCAGCTACACCAGCGTTCCGTCCTTCCGGCGATGGTGATGTCAGACATGGAAGCGCGCTAGTTTTTACTGCACTAGTCCAGGGAAGCTAAAAGTGAACCAAAACCGGCCGCTTTCGCGGAAGCTTGCTGAGCCCAGCCTTCTCGGAACCAATGTGGTAATTTGGCCATCGGTGAGCAGACATGGCTTACACGGACCCCGCCTTGACTAAGCGTCGTATAGCCAGTCTGTGTAAAAGACCATGCGAATGTTCCAGCAAGGACGAGACGTGCAGCGCCGGCCTGCGACTGTCGGGCTGCGCACGCCCCAATCCGACCGCTCGGCGTCCACTCTGTGCTCATATCTCGGGAATCAATACTCTCTCCCCTGCTCGTCATGACCAGGGCTTCGTCAGCGCGACTGCACTGATCAGCGTAATCAGTCGCCGCCCTCTGCTACCGACACGGGAGAAGCGACGCTCCTCTGCTTCAGCCCGCTTTGGAGACACTCGCACCGTGGGCGTTGTATGACTGCGCAGGCGAGGCGCCCAAAAGTGCCAACTACCACGAAACACTCGCGCCATCTGGTGCTCAGCATATCACGCTGGGAAACTGGCTTCCGCTCAAATCAGCCGCCGCCAGGTCAGGCCAGGTCAGACCGCACAACCGGCCGGGTCAGGCGGCTGGCACGCGAACCCTATCGGCGCCAGCGGGGCCGCGCGGCGACCGGAGGCTACTTACTCGGGGGAGGCCATGAAGTCCATGGGCAGCTGTGAGGACGCCACCACCACGTCGTCGGACGGCGAGAACACCTGGTCCGTGACCTCGTGGATGACCGGGCCGCCCGGCGAGTTGGCCGTCGACTGCGGGACACACGTGACGTCATGAGACCCGACACCAGTGCGGCGCTCAGCGGCGGGTCACGCCCGGATCGGTGGCCGCCACATGGCCGGCAGACGCCGGTGCATACGGGAACACAGCAGGGGCGTGACCCAGGGAGGCAATTAACGGTGCTACACTAAACGCCCTAGTGCGCACCCTCCCACGCGCGGTGCCGCGCGCCAAATCAAGGCTTTGCTGCCATAATTGTAATGCACTTAAACCGCCCAATCAGGCTGCGTATTTCTGCAACAGTACGCTCTCAGCACTAGGTCATCTCCACATTCAGCTGTAATGGAACATGCATTTTGCGAAAAAGCTGAAGCACACGGCTCAGAAACATGCTCGGAAGCATGCCGCAGTCTCGGCCCCCATGCGTCACAGACATGATAACAAACAACACTATCTACGCGGGGGAGCTTTCGGACTACCGCTCTGGAAACAGTCTGGGCCCGGGTGTGCCTGTGCAGGCTACCATGAGCAGCCGCGCTCAATCCCTCCGTCGGCCGGAAGTCGGGCCCCCAGAGGCAGCCGTCATAATTGTACCAGAATAGCGACGAATTTGCGGATGCACCAAGTAGTGCAACGTCATGCAAACAAGCGCAGATCACGAATCCGACCGTTTCCGATGTATTTAACACCGTTTCCGGTGTTTCCGGATCACGAATCCGACCGGTGTATTTAAGGACTGGTGTGAGATGTCGGCCATCAGAGCAGATAAAAAGGTGTAACCAGCTGCGCGATACAAGTCAATGAACCAGCAAAAAATAACTGCGCGACCTCAACACAGTTCTATGCACAGACCAGCCAGAAGTAGACCAAGAAGCCGTCAATGTCATCCCTTACGAGGCAGATTTAAAATACAACGCACTGTGGCCTAAGCCGATACGGGCGGGGACGTGGCAACTGACTGGGTGCAGAGCCCGGTGAATTTCCGTCAGAACTAGTCGCACTTTTCAAAAACTTCATCTGCGCTTTTTCAAAACTTCATCAAAAAGCCCATCTGCGGGGGTTCCCAAAAACGATGGGTGTCGCGTCACCTTTAGGTGCCATCTGCATGGTGATAGCATCTCTTCATCGCATTGCCCGTCCCACGCCACGGTCGGCGTCCCACTGGCGAGAACGCCGTTAGTCCGAGCTAAACATCTACTAAACAGACTCAACACGACTGCTCCGATTCGTCTGTAGATCGCGGCTGTTTCCCAGCTTCCCGTCAGCCCAAGACGTGTCCCCTCCCCGCTCGTCGCCCGCGCCCCGACCGGCGGCCGCCTCGGGAGCGCGTGACCCCGCCGACGGTCGGAGGCGCGGCACCGCCCGGCCCCAGCCCCAACAGACAGTCCCGGGCTGCACGGCCGGCCGTCGGGGGCCACCGAGACGGGGACGGCGGGTGGCCGGACAGCCAGCCGCCGCCTGGCCTCTCGTGCCAGGCTTCAACCGCCAGCGGACCGGTAACGGCGGCTACAAGTGACACTCCCCCTCCTCGCTTCCTCCGCGGCCACACGCAAGTGGCCCGGCGACGGCATTACATAAAACGTCCGGCCGTGCCAGTGCGCCGCCGCAGTGCCTTGGCGGGATGGCGTCGGGTGCTGACCGATCCCAGGACCGCGTAACAAAGACCGTCCCGCCCGAACTCGACTCGGCGACCTGGCGGCCCCCTCAAGCAGTCCAACACGGCACAGAGGCACGCTCCAAGGCCGGTCAAATCAGCCCCAACGAGGCGTATCTGCAGTAAAAAACTCGATGTCTGCAAGAAAAAGAAACGGCTAGCCTCGGCCGAGCACGCCGGAATCGTCATGTGAAATATCACGTAACGTGAATGATGCCGCACTCCAGGCCGTGGCCCGAACCCTCATAAACGAAACTTGGACGCGAGTGGATGACGAAGCCCGCGGTCAATAACGTAGGGCACCAGCAGACATCGAGCTCTCCCGGCGCCACACACCGGGTGTCTTTGAGTGTCGTACGCGTGGCCAGTACGCAGACCACAATTTCCTCCCACTTTGCTTTGCTTAAACTCCCTACCCAACCATTTCAACTGTGTGAAACACTGGAGCACACCCTGCGCCTAACCCTGATGCCCTTGATCGCCCCGGGTCCAACTTCCGACCGCCGCCACACCGGTCCCCTGGTGAAAGCAGCGGGAGGTTGGGTCGCCACCGTTGGTCCCCCGCCCTCCCCGTCCCATTGAGGCGTTGGCTGCCCGGAGGCTGGCTGCGGCCCTGGACTGACCAATGCTGTCACACACGTGTCAGCTGTCCAGCGGGTGACAGCGATCCGGGGCTGCCCTCCCCCTTTCCCAGCCACAGACACATTTATTGGCTGTCCATACGGCGACAGCGGTCCGGGGCTGCCCTCCCCCTTCCCCAGCCGCAGACACACTTATTGGTTGTCCGTAGGGCGACAGCGATCCGGGGCTGCCCTCCCCCTCCCCCAGCCACAGACACACGTGTTGGCTCTCCTGACGGCGACAGCAGTCCCGGTTCAAAGTCGGAGTTTTAGTTTCGGAACCAGGGGTTTGTAAGAGCAGGACACAAATTTCAGAAAAAAGAGCTGCCTAAGTATGATTAGAAATGCGTCGGCCGGCAATGAGCGTAAAGTTTCACTTATAATTCTACAACGTGCGATGTTGAGAACAAGCCCAAATTGTTGACATGCATACCATGACATAAGATGGCATACACGGCATAAGGAAACTCGTTGTGCCGAAGGGACCGACCTGCAGTCCAGGATATTTGTGATCGTTCGCAGCGCACATGTAACACAAAATTTATCCAATAGAGGTATTCGTAGGTGTGAAATTCAGATCTTGATCAACCTCAATCCAAGCTTTGCAGCCATCACATCTTTATTCAGGGACAGGGAGAATGTGCATCCACCTGAACAGAATACGTTTCCAGAACAAGCTCCTCAAAGTGCTGTAACTTTGGAAAGTACCCCACATTTTGAACTTTCTGCCAGACCCTAACTCCATCCCACCCTGCCCACTGACCCGTCCGCTGAGGTGGGCGTTCAAGACGTCCAGACCCCATCCGCCCACTGACCCGTCTGCTGAGGTGGGTGCTCGAGACGTCCAGACCCCATCCGCCCACTGACCCGTCTGCTGAGGTGGGCGCTCGAGACGTCCAGACCCCATCCGTCCACTGACCCGTCTGCTATCGAGGTGGGCACTCGAGACGTCCGGACCCCATCCGCCCACTGACCCGTCTGCTATCGAGGTGGGCACTCGAGTCGTCGAGCGAGAAGGTGCGGCTGAGCCGCGGCGTCTTGGCGCTCGGCTCGCCCTGCAGCGTGTCCTCCAGCATCGGCAGCTGCTTGCGCTTGAGGCCCATGCCGGCCGAGCCGCGGCCCGGCTGCACGAACGACACCAGGAACTGGATCAGCTGCGGGCGGAGCGGGGCGGCGTCAGCACGGGCTCAGGGCCGCACCGCCAGCGAGACGTGAGACGTGGGGCCGGCGTGTGGCGCGGGGGGAGGCTGAAGCAGGGTGCCTCACGGAGGACCTGACGCCGAGGCCCAGCGCGGGGGGAGGCTGAAGCAGGGTGCCTCACGGAGGACTTGGCGCCGAGGCCCAGCGTGGGGAGGGGGGGGGGGGGGGCGGGGCGAAGCTTGGTGCCCTACGGAGAACCTGACGCCGGGACCCAGCGCGAGCGGGGGAGGGGGGAGGGGGGAGGGGGTGGGGGGGGTGGCGGAGCAGGGTGCCTCATGGAGGACCTGTTGCCGAGGCCCAGCGCAAGCGGGGGAGGGGGGGGGGGGAGTGGCGGAGCAGGGTGCCTCATGGAGGACCTGACGCCGAGGCCCAGCGCGGGGGGAGGCGGAGCAGGGTGCTTCATGGAGGACCTGGTGCCGGGACCCAGCGCGGGGGGGGGGAGGGGGCATGTCATGAAGCGGAGACTCGCCGCCGGCCGCGGCCTGTGTATGTCCTGTCCCCAACTCGGAAACATGGGGCGTGCCAGCCTAGAACCACAACACATCAATACCGGGGACGCAATGGACATCCCCACAGACTTACAGAACGCATTAACATTCAGGCGTATGGCGGCCGCTGTCAAGACTAGAAACGCACAGCGAGACGGGACGGTCACCTGTCAAAAGCCAAAGCCAAAAGGATTCAGATGACAGCTATGATTACCTCGCTAAATCGACTTTGAACAGATTTCAGTTTCTTTATCGGTCCATCATCACCATACATCCGGCTCAGGTCACGTGACATTACGCAGCCGAAGCGTACGTCGTTTCATGTTGACTGTGCCAGCCCGGAGGTAGATGCGTCGAACAGGCACAAAAAACCGCTGGCAGCTGCTGACGGGCAAGCCATACACTGAGCTCCCGCATTGGGTTTGGTCAGCCGCGGCTGAAACATCGCCAGTACCGACAGCTGAGGAGATTGCCAGCGCCCGGCCGTTGGCGCCGGCGGCAAGACCTTGTAGCGGCCGGGCCGCGCCGACGTGTGGCCGCGCGCCGCAGACGAGCCGGCGACGGCCGTGACGCGACTGACTGTGCTCCGACCAGCGCACGTCGCCGACCGAAACCGAAACGCCGACCGGTGGCCGAAACACCTGACCAGCGGCCGCGCCGGCGTGCGGCCGCGCGCCGCAGACGGGCCGGCGACGGTCGTGACATGACCGATTGCGATCCGACCAGCGCCCGTCGCCGATCGGGCCGGCGGCCGAGACGCCTAACCAGCGGCCGCACGCACTGCAGTCGCCGCGGTGCCGCGGGGTCCCAGACTCGCCGCGCCCTACTGACTGGTCAGCGCAGGTGCGCGCTCGCTCGAGTCCCAGGCGAGCGGCGGGCAATAAGACGCGACCTAGCCCGCGTGGTGGTGGCGGTACCCTGGCCGGAACGCGATACCAGTCAGCAACAGTTTGGCTCCGGACGCCGTCCAACACCATCACGGCCGTTCATCTGCGGGGCCGCTGGCCGCTTCAGCTGCGCGGGCCGAGGTCAGGCCCGCCGGCCGTCCGAGCCGTCAACAGCACCAGGCCACGCCGGCACCTGAAGCTCTGCCACGCCCCGGGGACCGTGGCGGGCCCGACCGCCCCTGTCCCTGCTACCAGACGCGGGGCCGACCGCGCCGAAGCGAGGTGTCCCCACCTACAACAGTCTGGCCCTCGTTACGACGGCGAGCTCCGGGTCACGAGACGGGTCACTCGGCAGGTCGCGCAGCTGCTCAGACTGCGTGTGACAGGGGCGAGCTCGCGACTCATGCCGGCCGCAGTGTCGCTACTGCCGCTGGCTGTACGGATGAGCCTCTCCCCCCCCCCCCCCCCCCCCAGCACCGCCTAGCCGGGCGATGCGCCCGCTCCAGTCCGCCTCATTACCTTGTTGACGATCTGCTGTTGTTTGGCGTGCTTCTGGCGCAATACGAGCACCTCGCGCCACAGCGACTCGTTCTCGCGCTTCATCTTGTTCAGGTGGCTGTCCAAAGAGTCCTGCTTGCCCTTCATCGTCTTCACCTCTCCGTACAGCCGCGACAGCAGCTCGGTGCTGTTCGTCGCCAGCTTGCCGTCCTTGTGCAGTGGGATCTGCTCGGCACAGTCCACCGGGCGAGCATGATGACGACACGCGTTAATCACATCACGTCATCATTATAGTCAAGCCTACCGGTACGCCAGGGGAGCAACAGCGATACATTTCAGAGCAGAACCCAATTCACTTCAAGACGGTGGCTGCAGGCTTCCGAGCACGACGGCGGCGAGGCCATTTTGCGCAACACATATTAGGGCTGCATTCATTGGTATTCAGACTCATACCGTGGTGGCTTTGTGAGGGTTCTATCCGACATATATTGCCCGCCGCACCATGGCCATGTGAAGATGTCGGGTGCAGAGGAAAGATGGGAGGGACTAGTAACAGAAAAAACACTCCATGTCGTGACGAGGCGTATTTGTGAATCGCGGAACCAAGATTGTAGACACGTCTCATTGATTACTGTGCTGCATTAAATACCAAGATCGTAGAGATGCCTCATTGATTACTGTGCTGTATTGAATGTGGTTGACTATTTGTATTCAGCCATCACAATTTGTGGTCGCGCAAACGACTACGTTGGATTGTTTGGAGCACCCAGCCCCTGTGCAGCTTAGCAGTTTAACAGGGAAGACTGCCGCCTGCGTAAGGACAATGGTGCCCTGTGCTAGAAATGTCGCCTTCAGAAGACATTCGAACGATTTCAAATATTCGAATAATCACTCCAGCATTCAAGCATTCTCCGGATCCGAGTAATCAATCGATTATTCGAAAATTTCACATACAGAGGCTCCGTTTCAGCTTGGGCTGCCCACGGACGGCGTGGCCAGTCGACAGAGACAGATGGTCGTGCGGCTCCTCCCCCTTCCCACCGCCCCCCCCCCCCCCCCCCCCACGGGCACAGCCCGCCCACCGGCCCTGAGCCGACCCCAGCCGCTACCAGAGGGCCGAGCGCTGAAGGAGCCGGTCGGCGCGCCAAGGACCGAGCACACTGTGGAACAGGCGGGACGCGAGGCCCGCAGGACCGAGCACACTGTGGAACAGGCGAGACGCGAGGCCCGCAGCACGAGGCCGGGCCCCGAAGCACTCAGCGCCTCATGGCGCCGGGCTACGTGGAAAACAGCGCGCCGTGGAGGCACGGAGTTCGTGCGAAAACTTGAGATCTCTGTTTGCAGGAAGTGCCGCTAAATCGATCCAGGCCAACGCATTGAATGCACCTGCTCTCACGCTGGTTGATGGGGGCAGCGAAAAAACTGGTGCGCTCGATACCCGGACAGGGTCGGCGCATTGGTCAGCGAGCGAATGGATCGCTATCAAGCGAATAGAGCGGAGGGAACGGCTCCGTTGCCAGACGGCCGATTCCCTGTCGTCTCTCTGGGATTTTTAAGACACTTTAAGAGAGTGATCTACATTTGTATGGGGTTTTCACTGAGGTGACCCCTTTGAAGATCATCCAGTGCAGTTTACCCACATGTCCCTTTTAAGGCTTAACCCTTCTTGTTTCTGAGCTTGACGGCCGCAAACTTGGGCATATTCTTCGTGCAGACTATTCAAAGACACCTGAACATTCATGACGCCATATAAACGCCGCGCGAATACTGCCACCTCATTGGCCATGTAGTGTTCAAGACCACGAGCAGATATGATCGCCGAATTATTTGCGTCTGGTGTGTCAGCACAGTGCGTGGCATCAGCGGTCACCAACTAGCCTTCTAACCTCGTGATATGTAGAGTGCAGCACTTATCACATTTTGTGCTTTATAATACAGGAATTTGGGCCCTGTTACGAGTTGTGATGACATTATTTATCATAACTCGTATCAGTGTTCCGAGTAATAACCATAAAACAAAATACAAGTTATTCATTATAACTCGTATTTTCGAAGGCAGATGAAAAATATTAGACTGGGAATCGAATAACTTACGCACCACAACCGGGAGTGTGAATACATGTTAAAGACATAAAATCACAGACAAGGATACAAGAACGCCACGATAATGGGCGAATACATGTGCACATAACGATATTGGGGCTACGCAAGCATGCACAAACACGCGCGTCATCTCTCGGCAGGTCAAAGCATTACAAGTGAGTCAGCCTGTCCGCTACATTAATAATTCTGGCAGGGCACCTGGCGTCAACTCCGACGTCATGCAAATGTTCCATGCCGTAATAAAACGATGACGTATTGAGGGCATCGTTTACACAGTTTTAAAGTTTGGTTGTTTAGGGCAGTCGTTTGCACTTGGAAGCATACAAATAGATACAAGTGAGTTTAATTCATCAGAGCTGGTGCTTGTCTCAATGTCTCCAAATGTTAAACATTCCCTTTAACCGTAAAACGTAACCTTAATTCAACGGTACACAGAAGCCTTCAAACAGCACCGTCAAAATAATCGAAATCTCACAAAGCAAACAAAAACACATTTGCAAACGTCCCGGCAATATGTCTTCGCTCGATTTTATTTACGTTATGTTCAGCAACGCAAGCCGGTATGGACACCATTTGTCCACCTGCCAGCGAAGCTTCAGTCGCACCCGCTGCTGGAAGTGTAAGGGCTGCTACGTTAAGCGTACAATGCGCACGTTACAAATCACAGCCCACCAAAAGATTGCCCCCTTCGCGTTTAGAGCGGGACTGGACCAACCACCAGCAAAAAAACTTCCAGTTTAGCATGTGTAAGGTTGCGAAATCGTTCCGTGCTTCCCAGTTCTCATGACACTTCTCACTTTGACATCATTTTTGGGGTCACGATGTACTAATTCTTCCAAGTGCCGAATATAGCACGTACCAGGTGAGAAACGAGCCTCCCCTGATGACGCCGCAACTATGGCGGCGTTCTAGTCAGACCTTTAGGGCCAGAGGCCAGGTGCCAAACGTCAATATTTCACTTGTTCGGCATTGTGGCGTTTGAAAAGCTAATTTTGAAGCAAACTTAGGCTTATTTTGTTAAGTATAAAGTTCGAACCCCTTTTGTTGGCGCCTGATCTTCTACAGGGAACCGGGCCGGGCTGTGCGACAGCTACCTGCACACCGTGTCCGTCCGCCGTCCGCAGGAATCAGAACCCAAGCCTGCTTTTGTCGGCTGGTACATTAGCGCCCACACAGGCCGCCCGGAAATAAAGAGCGTGCCCTTCCCCCCCCCCCCCCCCCCGTCTCCCTTTCCCCACCCAGCGGCGCCCACAGCGCATTCCGGGATTGCGGACGTCGACTTCTAAAAAAAGAAAACGGATAAGCACTACTGCGTGTGTGCATCAGGGTCATTTGTCGCGAGGGCATCACGCAACAAAAAGAAGGGAACAGAACAAATATATCCGGTACTAGCTTTCTGGAAGAACGGCGTGCTTTGAAACCTTTAGAATGAGTACTACGCTCTAGTTACAAATGACATTTGGAGAGTCAGATTTCAAGGCTGCACAATCGTTAGCTTCGTCTTAGTAAGCAGTTCGTAGGCTACATACAACAGGATACCTCAAACGTTGCTTCCGGATATGTTATTTCCCTGCTTTTGTTTACCTCATCAGCTTCGACGCAAGATAACATGGCATGTGCCAGCACAATGACAGCTTTTATCTGATGAACGCGATCCCCATGCTCCATCGATTTACGATTACCTCTTGAAGCAGATATCGTGGTGCCCTTCAGACAACTCAAACAACCACTTACCAGCGCGCACGGACAGGCAAAGCGGGGTGGGGGGTTATTGCCCATATCCGTCGAAGTTGCACACGATTCACCTCATGTTGCGCAAGAAAACTGGCTTGCAGATGAAGCTCCTCGCATGGCTCTCACGCACCCGTTGTTGACCCCCTCACCTACCCCACCCTCACTCCCGTCTCCCACCGGACATCCCGATGGCCAGAGGTCGGTTCGACCAACAAATCCCACGAATGTTGTCGAATGCTGCCGGAAACAACCCACAAATCGGCCACAGAACGCGACAGGTCTTTTCATACATTTTCAAGCCTTCAGCACCAGCGCACCAAAGCACTTGTCTACACATTATTTGCCGACTGTCTGTCTGTCGCTGCGCCACTTTTGCGCGAATGTCAGGCCCCAACAGCGCGGTCGATTTTCAGGAGGAACACGCCGTTCGAACGCTGGCCGGCAGGCGTGGTCAGTGCAGAGCCGATCATTGGCTGCGATGTACCCCCAGGCTGGCGCGTGGCAGACACTATACAGTCCACTTTTAGGCACGCAGTGATGTCATTGTAATACACGGGAGGGGGGGGGGGGGGGAGCTGGTCAGCAGTCGAACATCCCAAAAGAAAGTAATTCATAGAGTAGCTCGAGCCGCTATACAGCTGGCACCGCGATTTATCCCGATACCAATTTGGGTGAAGTGTGTTAATTCACGCTAATAGTTCTCGTACATGAAATGCAACACGACAAAGCAAGGACGATCACAGGAATCAAATTTTGCAGATAATTCCGTCCGCCACTCGCGGCGCCATCCGAAGTGTCAGAAGAGAGGATCTTTGACCAGCTCTGTGAGCTGACGGAAAGGCAACTTGCATTATAACCAAACTTTTGCGGTGCCGAAGCTGATTGCGGTAGTGGTAAATCAATCAGACGACTGCGGTAGAGACAACATTGCTGGCTTGGAATTCCTATATGCAAAATAAGCCTGAGCAATGGCCAACTGAGGACTGAGCGAAGACCACGCTTTACATTTAACGCCGCGTATTTGCGCTCCGATGTATACTGTTGGCCGATGTATCCGATGTATACTCCGAGTATCCCATGTATACTCCGTGCTATACTGTTGGCCCACCGTTTTCACCACACATTCGGGTCTTAGCAGACCACACTGAAAGGCTGCCTGACTCCCAAGACGTTCTGTGGCCGCTCAGCAATCGCCTCAGTAATTTGGACATGCTCACAGTATGTGGTGAGCCATAGTGTTCGTTTTTGTCGCCGTAAGCTCGGTGGATGAAGCACGATTTTCCCTGCTGTTCAGTGAAATTATGTGCTCGAAGTTCTTATGAACAGCCAGAATAGTTTTGGTAAGTACCTCCAATACACCATGGGCGTGGCTTGCAAGCAGTCATACTTTGAGCTTATTCCGAACAGGCCTGAAGCAAACGACAGAGGGTCCATTGCCAAACATTGGCTCAATTACAATAATGGCGTTCATGTATCATCCCTCCGAGCATCACCATGGCAACGGAAAAAAATCCTCAGAAAGCAACGATAAGTAACATTGATCAGACAGACGCAGCGTAGATAGCGACGACCATTTGCTGAAGACCAATTGCATCGAACCCATCAGCAGCGTTACCTTAAACGTAGCGTTGCTTCAGACAACGATGACATCGCCATCCAACCCGGATTCCGTTAAACCGTTACAAAACGCAAAATGAATGCTGATCTATATGATCATTTCATGTTGAAGAGTGCACGCTTCGGCTCCCTTTCGTAACCCCGAATATGTTCATCAAAGCCCCAAAAGCAAACACTGTTCGTTCGAACACTTCTGTGTGTCGCACATATGCCGTGTCGTTTACTGGGTGAGCCTGGTGGTGGATGAGTAAGTACGCATTTTTATCCGATTATGTAACTTTCTAATGGTCTACGTGATGCTGGGCCTTGAACAGCCATGTCGCCTGTGAAGCTTAGAGGAGAAACACAATGCAACATAAACTATTGTCCGCCAAAAACGTCCTCAAAACTCACACTGCTATCTTGACATCAATGCCAGGGGGAGGTCGGTTTATAGCGCAGCGAGTCGATCCGGTAGCTCTCGGGTGACTGCTTTGCTCGCAATTGGCAGGTGGCAGGTGGTGATCCCGATAAACTGCTGCGTCCCGCGCCTAACGACGGGCAAACAGGTATGGCACACACACGCCCCGACCCCCACCACAAGCACAGCCTACGCGGCCTGCCCCCACCACCCCCACTCCCCGTGCGGGCGTCACCCGATGTACGGACGGCGGCTGGCTCTCCAGCAGCGGCGGCGGCCTACCTTCCGCTTGATGTTGTCCAGGCCCCACGGCTCGTCCTTGACGAAGTCGGAGTGTGCGAAGATCATCTCGTCGGACTCGTTACGCAGCGAGCCAGCCGTCGGAGACAGCACCTTCCTGAAGCCGTCTGCCGGTGACGTCACGGTGACGTCACAGGAGGCCACGGTCGCTACCGGCCACCCACGGCGAGGGCCGCGATGAACGCCCCGCCCCCTCCCCCACTGTGTGTGCAGTCCCGGCACCCGCGCCAGGACTTTCCAGACTGCAGCCAGATGCCCTTCATGGTTCTAGTGGCACTTGGATGCATGCTTTGGTATTATAGCTCCCAGACACCCAAAACAAACACATGCTTCATTGAATGCAGCAAATATTTTCATTTACACAGCATCCATCATAATTTGGACCAATTCCCAGATGTCACATACCCTTGCACAGTTTGTGTCATTCTGCATTACTAGTGAGAAAACTACAGTAGCATGTCATACCCAAGCTTAATAGCAGCCTTCCATTTTGCATGGTTTCACATTCTGCATGCCAAAAGTCTATCTAATGATTTCAAAAGGCCATAGCAAACCTGACAGGGGCCAAAAAGTCCCAAAAGCCTAAGCCTTGCTTTAAGCAGTAACACACTAGTTCAGTACACACACTAATGGTGGAATAGCAATAAAGAAAATGCTTACACATGTTGAGCTGTCTCACAAAGCTTGCCATGTTGTTGTGCTTGTAATAGACAGGAAGGAGTTCCATTGAGAAAACAGACTGGTTTCGGATGTAGAAAGACTTCTGGTCCTGAAATATTATGGTCATTTGAGCACTGTTACAAAGGGCAAAGACATTTGAAAACAAAACAATTTTAAACAAGAATGCACCTGATTCTGGCTGCAGTCTAAGCTTATGATGTGCACAAGTGGTACACTTAGCTGCCTGAAGCATGTAAAATGTCAGATAGTAAAAAGTACCAGTCCAATCAGGGTTATCTACATGTAAATACATCAACCAAGTGTGGGCAATGTCAACAGATATATCATCAGAAGAGGAAACTTATCACAAACTGAATAAAGGTTGATATAATATTAAACTAACAATTATTTTCATACCAAACCAATGTCAAAACATGCAAACTCACCTCTGTCCATCCAATAACTGAATCAGTGCTTTCTTCATTCACCATAGCCCAAAGCTTGGCTAAGAATGCAGGAACTGAAGAGCTGATTGCTGAATGCATTGTCTTATCTTGCATTTTTTGCTCTGAATTGTTACTCAGTTTTTGGCTTTGTCTGTCTTTTTGCTGAAAGCATCAGGGATTACATAAGTACAACATTTGCATTACATCTTTTCAAAATAAATACTGTGTCAGCAGAGAACATTTCATTTCTAAATGACTAGTGGAGACCATTTTCATTTCCCATCATGGTTCTGCTGCCCAGACCACTCCACTTTTCTTTCTGATGATATCCATTAGCTGGATCTGGTGAATTTGGCATATTCACCTTATAAAATCCATCATCCACCACACACCAATGCAGTTCATGCATTCCAAGACTGGTTTTGGGAAGTGCTGAACCAGATTACACTAAGATATGAACACAAATTAAGCCCCTGTGTTGGGTTCGGCAAACAAGATATTTGTGTCATCTTGCTAATTTTCAGACAGCCATGTAGACCCATCAGCAGAATGAAGACAATGCAAATAGGTTCCAGCACATATAAATAAGAAATGTTTGGTATTTTGTGGCTCCTTGAAATAAAATTAGTTAGTCTTAGTGACATCCATACACTAAATGAAAACAAAAATTAAATGGCTTACTCAGCACTCTGACAAGATCACCCAGACTGCAAAAACTACACCTTGCCCCAACCATGTTGAAATATGGTTCTGTAAAACATGTCTTAACATGTCCCAGTGTTGCAACAAAAATTGCAGCACATGCACACCCTACATGTAAGAGCTCAGTCCAGTTCTCTGCATGTTTATCACTAAGTTCAGTACATAAACAGCAAATGTTTCTGTAAATTATATCCAGAGCTAATTTCATGCAAGAGTAGTTGTACAATTTGTTTTGAACCAAAGTTTTCCCACTCAGTCTAGCCTGACCTGAATTTGACATGTGAGTGCATCAGGTTCAGTGGACCAATCAGAGTTGGTGTCTGGCTGCAGACAATGTTTTGATGTCCGGAACATAATCAGGGGCACTGGATTGGGAAGCAACTACCAAATGAGGCTATTCATTTGTCTATTTCATGTGCAGCTTACAGGGGAGAGGGCTTCAGCCCCCCCCCCCCCCAACTGTAAGAAGAATAATAGGCAAATGCAGAATGGATCAATTTTATAGCATATTTTCCAAATGCCTACAACCATCTTTCCCTTGTCATTCCATGATTCTGACTTATCATCATCATTCTCAAATTTTGACTCGCCCCTATCGTCCTAGAATTCTGACCTACCCTGGTCGTCCTAGGACTTCAACCTACCGTGATCGCCCTAGGATTCCCGCCCATCCTGATCATCGGCGACTCTGACCTAGGAATTTCGCGATATACAATATGACAGGTGATGAAGACTCCCAACTAGTTTGGAGACCTCTAATCAACACCATGCTTGAATCTGAGCATTGGAAACATGCCATTTACAGGATACACCTCACCCTATTCACATCCACCCAACAGGCAGAAAATTACTTTACTGCCCTTTCCAACACGTCGGGCTCCTCGCGATGCTGCGCTGAGTGCCTGGGCCTGGTCACTCTCGCCGCGCTGCGTCACTTTACATGCACAGGGCCATCTGATATTCTACAGCCGTCCAAGTGCTCTACGCTGTTTGTTTGCAGCCAATCGGTGGACGAATTATTCTCCTTTGTATCAAAATTAGTTGCTAATTGGAAAGTTTGAACGTAAAAGCGGTGCACGTTGAAGAAGGAACAGACTCGGAGGTCCGCCCCCATCAACATCTTGAACAATTACCGAGCGCTTGCGCAAGACTATTCTGTTGCTAGGTCGCGGTGTGGCGCGATGCGTAGCGCGGCGCCTAGGGGAGGGTGCTATCCATAAATTTCGCCACGCATGGGGGAAAGGGGGCGGGGGGGTGTAAGAAAATGAAATCGCAAGGGGCTGGGGCGCACGGCTGGACTGCGTATAAGCGTGCAGATTATGTCACGATAAGAAACATTTCACAAGTACAAAGCGGCTTATCGTTGTCTTCCTCGCATGGCACGAAACACGTCCGTTTTGTGGCGCACCTGCGGATGTTTCAGGCTTTAACGAGGAACAAACGGCACTGGTCTGCCGAGTATGGGGACCTGCTAGCCGTTGGTACCACGGGTGTCGATTCGCATTCTTTGTGAGGGGCCTGGCCTCCAATATTTAGTTGCCCCCCCCCCCCCCGCCCCCAATGTTGGCTTGGCCCCCAGTGTTCCGCTAAAATACTACAAAAACCTCGGTAAAAGACGATTACAACACAAAGACCGTCTTTGATCTTTCCGCGTAGTGGCGTCTTGTACCACTCCCATAACAAAAAGTCATGGTTCAAGTGAAAGCTCCGGAATACGGAAATGAAAAGTCATTCATGGCTAGCTCCGTCCCCGTTCCCAACAGCCAAAACGCGTGCCGCCTCCCATGACCGCTATAGAAAAGCACCATCGGCGCCGTCAAGTGGTCTCTAAAGGGGCGCCTCCACGTGCTGATCAGAAGAGACGCGCGCGTCCAGTGCCTGCTCCCTGGATCCAGCCCTGCATGACTTCTATACTGCTTGAATTAAATACTCATGCCTGAGATATAACGCGTAATTTATGACAAATTTATTGCGTTAGATCAAAATTAAGTAGGCCAAATTCGGTGAAAAAAGGGGAGCAGCTTGTCGGACCTTCGGTTCGGCCCCTCCCAATAATTTACAGAAAATGGCACCCCTGGCTTCCACGGCAGTAAGGAATGAGTATGCCACCGCAATTCCCACCTATGGTTCATTCACCCGCCAGTTATCGCCACGGCGCCGGTTGGCTTGCTGAGCGCCATAGTACCGGTGACGCTCCAAGAAAAGGTTTCAAGTAGCCATGCGGCAGCAAAACCTTTTCGATTTCACAATAAACGTCGCGAACCATATTTGTGGTCCTGTTAGCTCCCAGACTGTGTCGCAGCCAGGATCCGGAGCTGGAAACCTACAGGTGGCTTCTGACCAATTGACTTTCACGGCCCCGCACCGCGGTGGCGCACGCAAGGCGAACCAGTTTCATGTCACCCAGATGTACAGGTATCACTCCAGCGGCTAGCTGTTAAGACAGGACAATGCGCTGGCGTGCATGCACATATGTTTTATCGCGTTTCCGCGATGCAGTGTGGTACTCTCAGTCAACTCGCGTTAGAATGTGCATTGCTGCAGTAGCAGAAAAAACCCTTCGAAGGTAGTCGGAGAGGCAAAGCTGCCATGTATGTCGTTCCTTTTCACAATATCATTAAGTCTATGCTCCATTTCCCGAGCTGGGTGGGTGGCGGGGGGGGGGGTACACCTGCCCCAAGTACGCCACTGCCCCATTGCCACCGACATCGCCACAGGCATCGCGTCGCACACCACGATGTCTCGAGACTCCACGACCCGCTCGCAAACGGGGCAGTTTATTTGACACAGGGTTTTACAGCACACACCTGCTACGCACCGATGACGTATCACAGGACACCGCCACCAGGCGCACCCGCGCCGGGGCGCAGCAGCTGTTCGGGACGGAGCCGACGGTGGCAGTCGAGAGCCCAACTCCTTGGAATGCGCGGGGCCATACGGGGGCACGCACCAGCACGCGCGGGCCAAGCCGCACGCCAGCTGGCTCTCTTCCACATGGGCGCGGCCTGCCTTGACTCATGGCAGCAACTCCTCATTTTGCGCAAGTATGCAACCAGGTTCCAGTTGTTGGCAGCCTACGAGCGATGGAACGAGCAAGGTGAAACGATGGGGTGTTAATGCTGAAATCTAGTCCGCCTCGCACAAACGCAGTCGCATTGGTCAGTCCCGCAATGCTGCCTTCCACGCGACGCCGCGCGGCTCCTTGGCCGCCAACGCGTTCCGAAGCCCACGTCACTGATATGTGTATGCGACAACGCCCCTGAAACCTGCATCAATACCTTGGCGGCCTCGTCGTCGCTCGGAGTCGCCGTCCAAACTGCACTCCAGCGCCACGCACTCGCCCGTCCATCGCCCGTCCGTCCGCAGGGCCACTACGAGCCGCTCCACGGGCCCGTCCTCCCTTCTGGCGGGGCATACTGCGCAGAATCACGGACCGGACCCGGCGGCAGCGGCACCCAGCGCCCGGCGCGGCGCGAGCTCGCCAGTCTATCACCCGACACCTGCTCAGACCGCGACACACGTCCGCGCGTCCGCACAGAGCCGAGGTCAGGGGGGCGTCCCTGAGCGGCCGGTGCCACCCCGCGGCCCACGGAGCGGCCGCCCGGGGCGACGCGGCGGCACGGCAGTCCTTTGTACCCCCGGTTGGCACCGGGCCGGCGCCGGCCGTCCGCCGTCAGCGGACGTCGGGCGTTACTACACCTTGTACTTGATTCTCAGCTCCTTTATCGTCCACTCGGTGATGCCGACGTCGGCCAGGTCCTGCTGGCGACCCTGGGCGGGCGGGAGAGACGTGCCAGACACCGTCAGCTACGTGGACAGCGCAGCCATAGGCAGCGAGTAAAACAAGCAGACAAGGCCAGCAAATTGCCGGTCCCGCTACCCAGTACAATGCCGAACACAATGATTATTCCGGACCACCACATATTCCATAGGCTATTCCATTCATCTGACTGCAGGGCAATAAGATTGCCCTGAAGTCAGATGCCGGATGCAGTGTGTAGATTCTACGCACTGCATGATGCACCCAGATCTGGCGACGTGAAACGGCGGAGACAAACAGCGGCCGAGACCGGTTCATGTAGCCAGCGCTGCAAAACGCGAGCCTTTGAGGCACCTTCGGGGCGGGTGGACTCAGATATCAAATCGTGCACCGTAAAACCGTGGCTCCACTCGCTAAAACTTACTTCTAAACTATACAATAGCTTCTCCATCAGCTGCTCACAAGTCTTCTTCTCTTGTGATGACAGGAACTGTAGACTTAAGTTAAACCTGCAAAAGGCATGGACACAGCGTGTCTCATATTGTTGACATTGAGCAGAAATCTGGCCGATGAGTGACAGCAGCTGTGAGCTCTATCGAGGGGGCGCCATTTTTGTAAGACAATTTGGCTAATGAAAATGCAATGCGACATAACAAAGGCATCCGACTTTATACAACACGTTCGCTTAGAGATGCACAACAAATTATAAAACCACAAAGTGGCAAATCACAGGGCACATTACAAGGTCCACCATGACACATCAAACCCTATCTATTTGAAAGTGCAAGAGCGATAAAAAAGAAATGAGCCATAGCCCGTACTAGCCGAAACGAAGGCCTGCCGTTGTAGGCACGCCATGATACATTCGAGCAGCGCCAGCATCTCTAAATGCCAAATCTACCATTATATATCAATCCAGATGCCTCCGCTGTAACCATACGTTCAGAAGATCGGGGCACGAGGCGAGACGCTTTGAGATCGCAAAGACTGTAACACCTAAAACACGAGTTCTTGTCGCTTTGGTACGCCTCACAATCTTGACCAGCAGATACAAAAACTCGCTCGTCTACAGGAAGAGCGCAAACAATTCCCAGCAGGGCGTCCTACCCTCCCGGCGCCTTATATAGGCCTGCGGAGCTTTGTGGCGTCCACTTCCAGCGCCGGCAGACCTACACATGCTCTATGTATGCCAGCCCTTATCATTCGTTTAATGGCCTTGGCCCAGATCCAAACGCCACAGCTCTACCACTCGCATGCAGTCGAGGTTACACCGATACCGCCCAAACCGCCTTGCCCCTAAACCAGGCCAAAACACGCCCCGCCCAATTTCGCTTCAACACAATCGGTGACAGCCCTTCTCTCTAACACTAACACTGTCACCCACCCAACGCATGCAGACCCACCAAATGATCTACCACAGGTTCACAATGCAAACGTGATGAACTTCAGCGACACTGTCCACTGCAGCACCTCTCCCCACGCACCTGCCTTCTGCGTGCAGTGCACGCCCCCCCCCCCCTCCCCTCCCGCCCCTCCAGGCGGGATAGTGTGGCCGACCGGCCGGCGGCGCGCACCTCTTGGCCTCCGACATGGCCTGCAGCAGCTGGACGACCAGCACCACCTCGGCCGTGGTGGGCGTGAAGGCCAGCAGCGTGTGCAGCACCTCGCCGAGCAGACCGGCGGGGATCTCGGCGCGCAGCACGTGGCCGAGCGCGGCGGCGCCCATGGCGCGCAGCAGAGCCAGCCGACCGCTCACCTCCAGGCGGCGCCACTCGCGGCTCAGCTCCTGCAGCGTGGCCGGCAGCCGGGCGCCGCCGCCACCGCCGCCGCCGCTGCCGCGTGCCAGCGGCTGCATGAACCAGACCATCGCGTCTCGCATCAGCGCTCGGAAGTACGCAGCTGATCTGAACGTAGGTCAGTACGACAAGCCGACGAGACGGGAACGGCCAAACCAGCACGAAAAGCCAGTCGACCTAAATAGTGATAAAAGGCAAAGACGATGGCACAGGTCCTACGCATCGATCAATACCAGTCAAGCAGCAGTGCAAACATCTGCACAAAGGGTCGCTGGGCTACCTCTGAGCCAAAATACTTTACATAGAAGGAACCCGCTCGCGAATACTGACTGACAGCGAACTGGTGAAAGCAGTGCATTACACACGAAGTCATAAACTAAAGTCCCGACAAGCCGACATGGCGACTGCGTCCGGCCACGCCGGTCGGCCAGTTCCGCGCCGCCAGGCAGTCCCGGACCAGCTGTCCGGTCACGCGGCCGAACCGGAGGGCCAGCGGCCCGCACACCAGCCAGCGCACCTGGTTCATGTAGGTGGCTGGCGGCCGGACGACGGCGGCGGCGACGGCGGCGGCGTCAGGGCCGCGGGGCCGGCCGCCCGCGGTGGTCAAACTGTTCCAGACGGGGCCGCGGTCGGCGGCTGCCGCCAGCGTGTCGCGTCGCCCCAGCGGCCGCAGGTGTGCCGCCTTCACCAGCTCCCTGCCGGACACACGTCAGGCACGCCGTCACCAGCCGCCCCCAACTGCCCTCGGCGGCCCACACTGGCCCCTACCGGCGCCGGCGGACACACGTCAGGCACGCTGCCACCAGCCGCCCCAGCTGCCCGCGGCAGCCCACACTGGCCCCTGCCGGCGCCGGCGGACACACGTCAGGCACACTGTCACCAGCCGTCACCAGCTGCCCGCGGCGGCCCACACTGGCCCCTGCCGGCGCCGGCGGACACACGTCAGGCACACTGTCACCAGCCGCCCTCAGCTGCCCGCGGTGGCCCACACCGGCCCCTGCCGGCGCCGGCGGACACACGTCAGGCACACTGCCACCAGCCGCCTCAGCTGCTCGCGGTGGCCCACACTGGCCCCTGCCGGCGCCGGCGGACACACGTCAGGCACACTGCCACCAGCCGCCCTCAGCTGCCCGCGGTGGCCCACACTGGCCCCTGCCGGCGCCGGCGGACACACGTCAGACACACTGCCACCAGCCGCCTCAGCTGCCCGCGGTGGCCCACACTGGCCCCTGCCGGCGCCGGCGGACACACGTCAGGCACACTGCCACCAGCCGCCCTCAGCTGCCCGCGGTGGCCCACACTGGCCCCTGCCGGCGCCGGCGGACACACGTCAGGCACACTGCCACCAGCCGCCCTCAGCTGCCCGCGGTGGCCCACACTGGCCCCTGCCGGCGCCGGCGGACACACGTCAGGCACACTGTCACCAGCCGTCACCAGCTGCCCGCGGCGGCCCACACTGGCCCCTGCCGGCGCCGGCGGACACACGTCAGGCACACTGCCACCAGCCGCCTCAGCTGCCCGCGGTGGCCCACACCGGCCCCTGCCGGCGCCGGCGGACACACGTCAGGCGCACTGCCACCAGCCGCCCTCAGCTGCCCGCGGTGGCCCTCACCGGCCCCTGCCGGCGCCGGCGGACACACGTCAGGCACACTGCCACCAGCCGCCCTCAGCTGCCCGCGGTGGCCCTCACCGGCACCAACTCTCATCACGTCGCTGTCAGCACTCGGAGTGCGGTCAACACTCAACAGCTTCCTGCCGGCGCCCAGAAAAGTTGCCAGTCAGAATGTCACCAGCTCTCACAACGTTCACGCAGGCACAGAGCTGGTATCAATACGGTCCCCTGCAGCAAATCTCACCAGGGCATTGCTGGCCCATTCCATCACTCGCCTGTCAGACTGCACCACAATTTTTTTGTTTTTGTTTTGCCGCAGGTGGGATATTCGCACGTATAATACTAATTGGGGACTCCATCTCCTTATTTCATATTCATGTTTTTCTCACTTGAATGTTGAATTGTGTTAGATGGCCTTGAACAGACACGTAACTGGTACCGAGCTCAGTATAATATAAAATTGCAATATCAAACGGACAACTGTTTGTTAGTTGGTAAGGAGTTTCTTTCACTAAATGGCATTGCTATTTCAACTCCTGCGGTTAAATGCTCCCATACCATGCCCTTTAAAACTGGAACACAAATCGATCCCAGAAAGCTATCATCAGCAGCGACCACCCCGAAATACTGCCAACGTCACCCGAGCAGACTGCACCGCTCCGCTCCCGTCCCTCGCTCCCTGGACAGCGAACAGCCGGAGTTTGTTAAAACGACGGCCCACCTCTGACTCCAGCCCCGCTGGCAAACAGGTGCGCCAACAATCTCCAAAATCATCTGCTCAAAGGTCAAATGTCAGCTTATCCGCCCCCACCGAGCAGGGCAGACAACTCGAAGTCATGCTAGCTAACAGCATTCTAGACACACAGCTCCGGCACTGGACCGGAGAGCCCCAGTCCTGTCTGAACTCGACAACACCATTCAATGAAAGCAAAGAAGACTTGCCGAATTTCCATTGAATACAAAAAGCAGCAATCTCTTTGTTTAAAGTAGGCAAACAACAAACTACCTCTGTCCCCCGGGGTCCGAATGTTTCAACATCAGCGATTTCCTGGCGCAGTATACAAAGCTAGACCGCCGTCCAGACCGCAAAGTGTGCAATGCATGACATGCTATAGTTCGATGGAATGTTTACTTGGCTATCACGAGGCACACTCCACACAGCATGCATCTCAAACTGACTGCAGAATTCGCAAGTCCCAATGCAGCTCCGTACTTTGGCCTTCCCGATCCGACGCATCCCTGCTCGCCGCGGTCGAACGTGGCACAGACCGCGTGCACAGTCACCCCCCCCCCCTCTGCCCGTGTTTAAGTCTTTGCAAAGCGCACAGCCCCCTCCCCTTTCCGCACATATCTCACCCTAGGCACAGCACACAGCCACCCTATATCCTCGTGCTTCAGCCTCGGTAAGACGCACAGCCATCCTATGCCCGCGTCTCGGCCTCGGCATAGCAGAAAGTACCTCCCCCCTCCCTCCCCCCCCCTTCTGCCCATGTTTCACCTTCAGCACAGTGCACAGCCCCCCCCCCCGCCCCTCTGCCCATGCTTCAGCCACAGCACAGTGCAAAGCCACCCTCTGCCCCTGCCTAAGCCTCAGCACAGAGCGCAGCCCCTCTGCCCATGTTTCAGCCTCGGCACAGCGCACCTGAATTCGTCATAAGAGCCGACCCTCTGCTGGACGGCGCGCAGTTTGGCATCGTTCTGGAGGGCGCGCCGCTCGTCCTGCTCGATGGCTGAGCGCAACTCCCGCTCCAGCTCGACGAAGTTGATGTCGTCCGCCTCGGCCGGCCGGGCCATGCCACGCTGGCGCGCCTGCGGAATCAGGTCAGGTCAGGTCAGCGGCCCCACATCTGCATGCTTACAGGTCAGCATAAGGACCCTCAGCCAGCTGAGCAAGCAACAAGCTGAGTCGCTGACATGCCTGCCAACCACTGATTTCTGGGATCAGATCAGAGCTCTGCCAAGCAGTGCTTGCTGCATGAGCCCTCACACCAACCATCTGATCATGAAAGCCCATGCCAACAGCAGGATTTTGTGACAAAAGGTGAATGTGCCACAACACTTTGCATGATCTGCCTGCTGGCAGTCACCTGATCTTTGGCACTACAGCTGCCACTGGCACCAAGCCATCCCAGTCAAGGCAAATAGCAAGTGCCTAAAGTAACTTAAACCATGACTCAAACCAATCCTGACTGGTGGGTCAGAAGGCAGCTGCTAACCATAGATTATAATAACAGCATAACAGTTATTATAATAGCATACCAGCTTCAACATAGTTTCAACAATAAAAGAACCATGACTTTGAATCTGATATATTTATTTTTGAGTATCTTTAGTTGTTTTAACCCACAGCTCACCAAAGATGTTTTCCAGCCCACAGCATGCTTAAAGGGAACACATCTTATTCAATTGATTGATAATTTGTCTCCTTACAACTCGCTTCCTTACAAGACACATACATCTTTTAGTTGTGTAGTAATGTACACTTTGGAATGACTTCAGCCATAGACATTAAGGTCACACAATTTTGACCATAGGGATAGAATAAAAGGGTTCATATTTTGTTTTAGAGTTCAATCTAAACCCACATAACAAGGCATATCACAGTCAAACCAAATCTCACTATCTACCAACATGCATATTATTAATGGAAAGGGAGACTTAATAACTCCATTGAATATCTAGTGTGTCATGCTGCATGAGCACTTGAACACCTAAAAACTGCACATGTTTTATTGAACTCAAAATAAATCAAACCAATCTTGACAAAAAATTGGGCCAAATCAAATTTGATCAACATTACTCCTTGAGCAGCAGTACAACTCTTGTCAGTCAGTAGTAGCTAATTAAGATTCAAACAAAACTGAAAGAAATTAAAAATAAATGCAAATGTGTACAGAAAGATGCAGCATTATCAGAGCTCACACACAACAAAACATTAATCTCAACTTAGCAGTACCTTCAGAAAAATATTTTTTAGCTTAGTTCACATCCATTAGGACACTACATTCATTCTTGAAAATATCAATAATTTCTTACCTATTGATTCCACATTTACAAAACAAATAATATGCAACCTGATCTTGACATCTTTCAGAACCTGTGCTGTTATACTTCATAAAGTACCTTCTATATCTTGGAAAACTGGCAATATGATGGGAAGCAACAACCAGGTTTATCACATGGTTTATCATTCATGAAATAATGTTGTCACAAGATGAATGCTGATAAATGAATCAAACCTGTGCAAAAAGTGCACAATATTTGCTGACATTTTGATCCTTGAGAGAACAGTGTTGACTGACAGGCAAACAGTATACATGTAGCTGCATATTATGCTTTCATGCTATGTCTGGGTCCAGGGCATGACACTGTCCTGAGCAATAAACAATGATATGGCATAGCAATAACATACAATATGGAGTTTTTGTTGAAATAAAGAAATATTCCTAATCAGTGTGCAAATTATTTTGATCTGTCAAATGATCAAGTATGAATGTTCAGTAATTTCCTGCCAGCTGACCAGCTAGTCTGCAAACAATGGCAACTATGCCAACAAATTACTTGGGACAGACAGATTCCTACCCAAAATAGGACAATACACCATCCTTTTTCAAGTAGATTTGGCTGAGCCTTATCATAGACAACACTATGACAAACTCTATGTGCACTGCTCTCCCAGGAAACATTATCAAACACAATATTTCTCTCCAATTAATTCTGCCGCAATTTGGTACCCTGCCCTCAAAAAGGAAGCTGCACCCCACCTCTGCTCACAAGACATCTCATCAAAATCTTTCACATTCTGCAGACTGGATGTCTTGGCCTGCAAACACAATACCCAGTGCTTTCAACACCCAGGTAATGATGTGCTGAACTGGACAAAACATGTGCTGGGCTTAATTCCTAACATTGGCTCTTAATACCCTGATAATTGTAAAATTAATGCGAAAACAAACTTGCAGCAATTTGATTTCTGAAAAACACATCTAGAGATTTTGAGCAAAATTTTTCCAGTACACCACACATGTCCAGTTTAACAAGGATTTTTGCAGTCTAGGCTAGACATAAAAGAGGTGATGCTAATTGAAGTCATGTTAACAGATTCAACTGGCACTACTTAAAAATGGTACAAATAAAATCTCATTTAAAATAACAGAAAGCCGGAGCATGTGTCACAAACGAGCCATTAGAAGTTGGGGGGGGGGGGGGGGGCTCTTCACTGAATTCCATTCATGGTTCGAGTCCCGCCAGCATGATCACAATTCAGAAGGACGGGAAATGGCTTATTTACCCTTTGGTAGCCAGAACATAATCAAAGGAAAGCACCAATAGATAATATTCACCTGCGATTTGCCTTAAGTTTGTTTAAAGCCTTGTGTTTATCAAGACACCGCCAAAACACCGACACAAAATTCCGTTTTAACCTGTTTACCTGCTGATTTGCGCGCCGCATACGTCAGCAACAGGATCTGTTCGAGAAGAGCCTGAATGCCCGATCGGACACAGCTATATATGACGTCATAGCCAAACGTTCCATGCAAACTTGCCATCATGATTTCAGCTGATCTTCTTTCTTCTGCAAATTGCCTTGATATCTCAACCGTTGTCAGACTAATCGAAGACAAACGTACACAAGATACCAAGGTAAAACGCTTCCGAACCCTTCGGAACAGCATGGTCACATTTGAGCCACATGCAGGGAGAAATGGGATTGAGCTACAGCAATTGGCATACTAGCGCAACCAGCAATTTGACCGCACACTAAGCAATATTTTATGTAACCACGAGTAATCAATTTCAATTTGCTCTTCATTCCAGCGTTATTGCTCTTGCTTCAATAAAATCTAATAAATAAATCTTGATGTAGCTCAATGATTTCAAAAATCAAGACTTGTATGACGCATATGTTTCATTTCTGCCTCAGTTGCATCAACAAACATCGGTGCATGCAGAATTGCCGGATTGATGAAGGTGCCGGGTGAACTGTCGTGTGTATTGTTAGTTTGTGTCAAATGCAACCGTATTTAAAACAACTATGTGTGGTGCAACTTTTTAGGATCCTGTGACTGATGCAGAAGTTGTTTTGACTCCTTGAAGCGGCGTGGGAAAGATCGCAAGCTTCTAACACCGGTCATCCACGTGCTGACCATCGGTGAGTTTCATTTTGCACTAACAGTTTGCTGCCATTGCGGTGTGAAGGCATTTCCCAGCTCATTTCAGATCCCTGTATCAAAAAATCTGTGTGTCTAGCCATTAATAACATTTTGCAACTTGTCAATAATAATTTGTATCATGCCCTTTAGCCAACTGAGCCTGGAGGGCCTCACAGCGTGCTTTGCACTAATGTATACAGACAATGGAGCAATACAGCAATAGATCAATAATGACTCACACTCCTGCACAACATCATAAAAAGTACACAGCCCTGCAAGGAACAACGAAATAATGAACAAGATGGCTGGGTTGCTGACTATATTGTTTTTATTATTGTGATTGCCATATAAAATTAAATGGTGTCATAGATGATACACAGATGCAAGCAACTTATCATTCAGTCTATGCTGTGGCCATTAAGAAAGGTATATGAATTGTATTACTTATTTCTTTGAACAGGTCACAAAAATATTTTTCCCTTGTTTGAAGCAGTGTCTTTCAATTCTACATAAGCACCCAGCCATAAGGTACAGCATGGCTTTTTGTGTTAACTGATGCGCTAGTTAATGACATTTGTGACTGAAGCCTCATAGATTCATTTGCTTTGGTTAAGCATGATCTTGAGCTGTCAGGTGCTTACATGAGAACTTAGGGTAACACCCTACTGCATGGTGCTGTGGTCCAAAATCAGGGCTGCCCCCCCCCCCCCCCCACACACAAAAACACATAATTCCATTTCAAGTTATTTGAGGTCAGGCTGCGGGCTCCCTGTCGGGAAGCTCTGCATACAAGGATGAAAAATGATTTGCTGTGTCGTAAACTCGGCGGTGTGCGCTCAGTTAGACCAATTACCAATTGCCCTGTTTGAAAGCTCTGCAGGATGACCATTAACAAGTTTGGCCCCCTGGTTTACTCTGCTCTATGTGCACTCGATGTTATTCAGTGGCTTTGAATGTTTTACATGTGGAGGTCTTATATATGCACGTCACACGTGCATGTAACATTCCCGATGGCTGTTGTAAGCCAAAGTCATGAAAGGTGAAGCTCTGCAAATTCGTGAAATCCGCTTTCAACTACAGGATGTTGTCAACTTAAGTAGCTAACGCGTCAAAGGTAATGCGAGGGTCATTTAAGATCAAAGCCACATCAGGAAAATTCTTCAAAAGCACCCAAAGAAGTGTTGCCACCCTAAGCAGACTTTTGTACCGATGTCATCGTCGTACATGGGAATGGTACGCCCAAGGTCCTCCAAGGTCAAGGTCATGAGAGGTTGCGAAATGACCTCAGATGGCCTTACATTACACTTTGCAGGTCAATGATGGTACATTTAAACTTCCATCATCCTTACTTTGCGCTTGTACGCAAAGCTGCATCGAAACGGAAACAACGATGTTTGACGTGACATGACCGGTCCTGCCGGCCAATCTCAAAAGGGAGAGGAAGCTCCTGGCGCTGCCGCACGTGACTCCGAGAGAGCGCAGCGCTTTTTACCGCTGCCTCAGGATGGGATACAATGAACGCCTCAAAACGAAGTCAGCGCACAGTGTGTGACATTTTATGCTTAACTGTTGCTCAAGATGTCAGGAGCTTGGGCTGTTTGTCGTTATATGATCCATCCTCCTAGATCATGGTAGTGTCATGTATTAACAGGTGGTGTATGCCCTCTTGTCGATGCATAAACGACATATGTTTTCCCAGATTCTGAGGATACGTTTACAGTAGACGCTGCTCATTGGGTGAGGCCAAGGCGATGGGGCTGTATTTGGTCTCGAATGATCCCTGATCTCCCGATGCGTCGATCATCCTGAAAGATAAGCCAGTAGACCAGCACACTTACAAAACCACAGCACATTGCACGATGTCGCCATCAGGCGTTAGAATGTCTTTCTATACCGAATTTGTTGCGTTCATTTGGCGCGTTCATGTTGGCCGAGACAGACCCCTGGCGTCTGGGTTTACGATAGACGCATGGCGCGACAGCAGCGGCCGGACGGCCCGGCATCAGCGACGGACGGACGGACGTCCCTGTGGTCCTGCAGGGACGTCCATTAGCCGAACAGTCGGAGATCGGTCCGTGTTCGTCGCTGCACGGGCGCGGCGATTTCCATGCCGATGTTGTGCTATACCAGAATGGGCATCAGATGCGGTTCATCTGACTTGGCCCGTTGCTGTTCGCCGTTAGTGTTGGAAAACTTGACGTTTCCTGGTATAATGTATACCAGGAGATGTTGTACTACAGGATTGTGACTAGGTAAAATGAAATATGTTGTACTCCGTCATGATGCAACAAGAACAGCTTTTGGAAAAACTCATTTTACCTCTTTATGTCAGGACAAAATAAAACCAGAACGTGCAACAGCTTGAGACTTGCTGCTTCCATCAGGAGCCATGTATTGATATATGCCAGAGCACAAATCTTGCACCCACCAGACTGAGATGCCCAACAGCAAGCCGCGTGTGTTGCCAACTAGATATATGATAAGCCATGTATGGAAATGTGAAAAATAAAGCGTGTGAATATTGAATGGAATCGCCTTTGAACAATGCCGGGAAATGAGAAACGAGTACCAGAATCGCACCGGTCTGTAGATTAGCAAAGCTCTCACTTTCTATGCCCTTCGCAGACCAACGCAAACTTGAACATGACTTAACCTACCATTGACGACGAACCGCATTAATTGCCAAGGATGCAACGAACATTCATAGAAAACTGCACGCCCAATCACCTAGCGCGTACGGCCGCCTACCCACGCGCCACCACTGTGTCATGACAATGCAAATAAGGAATAACTCGCAATTCAGCGTCGGAAACATCTCAACTATTCATCGGCTTGCGCCCGCCTCCTAGCTCAGGTTGGAGGTTGAACATAGCAAAACTCTCCAATTGTTTTAATGATTCGCCTCCTCGTGACTGATTTGTCAACAGCATACATATTCTGGTCGCGCTGATGTCTTGAACAGATTTGTAAACCTTTGGAGGGAAGCTGTATAGAGATGGGCATCAATCACGATTATGAAGAATAACTTATTTGTACTCATCCAGAACCGCCATGTGGTTGGAATGTTGGCCACTTCCTGGTATCTGGAGTACAAAAATGTTTCGGCAGCTGTGGATTTAAACCAAATTATATTTGTCACTTAAGGGTGTGAAATTAAAGCCGGTAATTCAGGCTTTACAAAAATACCCTTTTAAATCGAAGAACATTGCTATAAATAGCCAAAAAACTGTTCGGAGACAGCCATCTCACTCCGGTAAAAAACCAGGACACCAGAGTAACATGAACCCATAACTTTGGCCCGACAAATTAAGGAGAGGGGCTTGTCAGAACAAAATCATCAATTAATTGCAACATAAATTATCGTATTTTGCGATATCGGTTAACGCGCATCAAAATCCATAAATACCTTGCATTATCCGCCGGAGTCAGCGGAGTGGCTGACTCCGATCCCTTTTGGTCGGCCTACACGAGTCTGTCAGGCATTGTACTTGCGCTAGCTCGGTAAATCGGTTAACACGCACCCGGTTGATCAGCTAGATACCCTTCGCTCGGGTGGGGGTAGGGTCAATCTGCCCCCACCCCTGAGAACTAAGAAAGCTAGAGACACCAAATTTACAGAGTGTCTTAACCTGTACGTGAACTCACTTAGGTCAAAGTTTGTGCTTCCTAGGTCATTACCTTAAGGTCAGATAAGGTCAAACAATGTCAAATTACATGTTGGTCTCTAGAGTGCCCCCAGAACCTAGGCAACTGTTTCTAAGCAAAAGGTTACAAGCTCCTTTGAGGTCAGTGATATTGTTTGACCTTTTGAAGGTCATGGTGACCAAATTCATACAAGACTGCTCTGAGTTTTGCATTTGAATAAGCGACAAAAATTACGCTAGGCAATATGTTCCTAGAACAAAATGTTGATCCGGGCTATCTTAGGTCAATGACCTGTTCTGACCTCTAAGAAGTCAATGGAAGGCGTATAATGCGGTTCCTGCTGTCAGTAAATTTGAAATGAGCACCGCAAACTATCCCATACAGCAAGCCCTAGAGTAATAAATCAGGTGGGTTTGACCTTGGTCTGGCCTTCATACCTGACCTTAGGTCAACGTAATTTGCTTATTCAATATTTGTGGTGCCTAAGAAAGCATCTCAGAGATGCATAGCTTCGTCGAACTCTCCGCTATTGTATCCGATTGGACGATTCCCTAGAAATTGCCTTCGCTGAAACCATGACCTGACTTTGACCTGCCATAGGTCAGCGACCTTACAAGGTAAATATAATTGTGTTA